GATTACCTCATCTAAACACTTAAGTTTGGAGTCGAACTATTAAGTTTAAAGGCCTGATTCCAATGAATTAAAAAAATTAAAAACCACACCAATAAGAATGAAAAATTGAGAATAACATTATTGAAATAAAGAATAATAAAGATTCATAATACAATCTCAAAATAATTATACTTACAAGTAAATAAAAATTATATAATTAAAAAATTGAAATTATGCGGAAAAATCAACAATACTCACTAATCAATCAAATAAAATGGCAGATCGAGGCACAACGAGGCTAGTTACAACTGGTAGTGGCGGTTGATGGTGGTGGTAACGGCAGGGCTTCACAAAATGAGCAAATAACAATGAGGAAAAAGATAGGAAAAAAAAAAATGCAGCAGATCCTTCCGTATCTACACCAGCGTCGAACAGGCAGAGAAAGACACAAAAAATACCCCTCAATCGACTGAGGCTTCCACTAGTAGTGGTTTGCCTGCGCACAGCTGGAAAACACAAAAAATCTGGCAGAGGAAGGAGGAGATCTGAGTTGAAGGAAGGAGGCCCGATTCGGTCAACAAATTTGACCGAAAAAGCACGCACATAGGCCCCACCGTCTGGCCTTGTCCAATCATCATCAAAGTTTTGCAGCTCAGTCTAATTCGGTCAAAGTTATTGACGGAAATAAATCTCGCACAAAATGACATCGTTATTTCGGGGGAAATTTTTTACGAAAAAATGTTTTCAAAAAATATTTTATAATAAACTCATGTTTGATTTTTTTATTTTTTTTTGTTAAATTAATTGATCAAAATAATGAATTTTTTAATTTTTTTGATAAAAATATTAAACCAAATTAATTTTGACACCAATTCCAACCTTAATAATTCGATCAATTTTTTTGATAACAATTTTAAAGTCTTTAATCCAGCAATAAATTATTTTGATTAAATATTTTAACCAAAATATTTTTTTTATCAAATTAAAAATTTGATCGAAATAATTTGATTCGTGACATGTTGCCTTTGTCCTTTTACCCTTCGAGTCAAAAGATCATGCACTTGTGCCGTCTTATAAAATGAGAATATTCAAGCAATTTGCAGCAATCAAACTATAATAAAGTTTTGTGATGATGCCATTGCTACAATTTTATGAGCTAAAGCTTTGGCCTCCTTTTAATCGAAATAACATTAGTTCAACTTGACCTTTGCAATGAGAAGTTGCAAATGTTGGTAAGGTATCAATTTATCAATTGCGCCTAACGCCTCTAGCCAACAAAAGGGGAAAAAAAAAGGCCTAGCACCAATCTCTCATAAAATTCAACCAAGCTAGAGAAATGTGTTTTATCTTGAACCCCATGCATGGGTGATTATACATTTATGTGCATCTTGTCATTTTTTCTTTCAAACAAAATCATGATACAGCTTGGTTTGTCCACATTAATACAGCATCAATTCATACCACATTGGTCCTCATCCAGCACACTGTTCTGCTATAAGTCAATTGCTAAGTCCTAGAGTATTTAAAAATAAAATGGAGAGAACATGCAACTTTTTGCTCCTTGAAAAAGAAACAGTATCATCTCAACCTATATTTCTTGTTTATGACAAAAAAAGAAAAAAAGAAAAAAAAAGAGAGAGTATGTTTCTTGTTCTTTTTGCCTAAGAAAAAGAACACTAGATATCAAAAAAAAGAACTCTAGATATCAGAAAAAGAACAGAAAATTTTTAGCTTAAAGAATGGCTACAAATTTTTAGCTTAAAGAATGGCTATCTTGGTAACAATTTATTTTGCTCACAAAGTTCCATGGAGCCCCATCACTAGATAGACTATACATGAGTTTGAAAAACCCAAGAAAGTGCTCAAAATGAGTTTGCCAATGTTTCTTGTTCTGTTCCCTTGGGACATAAGTTCTATTGCCTTTGCTATTGTCACGCCCCAGAACCCAAATCCAGGGACGTGGCAAACGCTGTGCACTCGTGAAAAGGTCCCACAAATGCACAAGGCTCGGAATTTATCCAATTTCTTTCCCCTTTTAAGCCCCTCACTTTTGAAATTTTGGCTATTAAGCCCCAACATAATATTTCCTCTCATAAAAGTCCTTAACTTAATGTTAAAAATTCCAGAAATTTTGGGGTATTACATCCACCCCTCTTAAAAAGGAGTTTTGTCCCCAAAACTCAAATTGGGGATCATCTCGAGTGGCAAATGGCTTCACACAATCTGAGACAAAACAAATGCCTCACTAACTCTTTATGAACAGAACATGTCTAACTACGCTTCTGCTACGCCACTTTGATATCAAACCACAACTAATCCTAAAAGCAGAACATTACTACTTATCTGGATTTACCATGAAACAAGCTACTAGAGGTTGGGGTGACATGGGAAGCACAAGGAATAAAAATAAATCCTGCCAAAGCCACAAAAGAACAATTGTGGGGTTACACTACGAACCCATCACAAGACGAGTTGACAAAGAATGGCATAGATTTAAAGATGAGTACAACAAAACTTGAACTCTATCAAAGACGGATAATCATCCAATGGATATATGGATCATGAATGAATGAACGAGTGCATGGATGCCTTATAAATTCTGCCACAACAAGGTTAACCAATAAGCAAGGTCATGTTTAACAAGCAACTAGAATCAAGAAACAATGTTAGCAATTAACAAGAGTTAAAAGCTAGACCCATCAAATGACATGTGAAATTTCCAGAATAGCATCAAAATGAAAACAATGGAAAATATGAATGATTGGAAGAATATTGGAACATAAGAGTGCAAGGTAGAATGCCTCAAAAATTCAACAATAAAACGGCATTCACCAAGAATCAAGATCAAATTTAACCAAGCAGTCAAAATTGAGAGACAAGAGTTAACCATGAAACAAGCAATAGAATTCCAGGATTAGGCCCACAAAGGAGATTTCAATAATGACAGCCAGAACACTGATTCACGAGCAGATGTAATCAGGATGTCAAGATCTAGCACCTCAAGTACTAGAATTAATTAACAGAACAAAGCAATGGCTGGGATCAAGATGCTTAGAAGATGATTGTCTTCTAGTTAAAAGGGCAAACAAAAATCAAAGCAGCTAGATAAAAGGACCATTTCTTTTGGAACAAAACTCTAGGGCATCAGGTACTTCCAAGACTACCCCTTCACCTCGTAGCCCATGGAGGCTAAGCAGATTTACAATCAAGTCATCCTAGACATCCTAGAGTCAAGTCAAAGCTAAGACATCAAGGATACAGAGATTAACACTTGCAAGAGACAAGAATTAGGATGCCTCATATGGGTATCTTCTAATAATCATCACCCCTTCTAAAGAGGTGTCCATATGAACAAAATCAAAAATCAAGAAGATCAACAGGTATACTGACACAAGAACTAGCAGAATATGCAAGATTTGACCAAGAACAATATACAGAATTTGAAGAGCAAGAGTCAAGACAAGAATGATTTTCAAGGACAACTCAAAATAAATTCCAAAAACCAAATATCAATTGATTTTCAAGAATAGAATGCTAACATGACTTTATTCCAGGCAAGATTCAAGATACGATTCCAAGAACAGTGCAAGAATTAATTTCAGACAAGAATCAAGATAATGAGGATTTCAATAATCATTATCCATTTCCTTTGGATTTCAATATCAAGAACAAGTACAAAGCAATCTCAAGAAAGATTCAAGATAGATTTCAAGAGTTTCAAGCAGTTTCCAGGTATCAAGAATGTAGAGATTGGCAACAATAGAGTTTACTTTATGACAACTTGCCAATCTTCACAAAACACGGCAATTTCAATTGAATGATCATTGTTTTTGATTAACCAATATAGAAAAAATGAGCCACATGAAAAGACCATGAAGTTCCAAATGGAAAAAGTGAAACTTCACTATAAGACTTTCAGAAAATAAGGAGCAACGGAATTACCAAGTTATCCAGCTCCTAAAACGCAGCTAGAAAACACACGACATTTTCTAAAATAGTCTTGAATCTCTTACAAAGTAAAGGGTTGCCCATCTTCCACTGGTCATGTGACAAACAGAACAAATTTCTCATCCAGTTATGCTGTAGAGACCAACAGAATCAATAGCAAAAGATCTCAGCAACTCCCCAGATTTTACAATTGTGGCAAAAGAGCATACAAAAATTCTATTCAAGTAACCAGTCTTAACAAGTGCAGACTATCAAAAAATGACCAAGTTTCAAAACAAGGTCTTAAGGACATGGCGGACAAGATTAATTTCATGAATTTACACGGGTATGAAGGCGGGAAACAAGAACAATCCGATTACCATCTAATCAAAATGGATTAGAAAATTCAGGCAACATGAATCAGAATCGTCCCTTATATAACCCCATCACTCATCTCACCACGATTCTAAAATCCACTGGCTAGCCAAGTCCAAAACAAATCCTAGGTATTTAATTAAATCTAAGCTTCGATGCCACTCAATCTGGAGGTGCTCAATTTAAACCTAAGCTTTGATACCACTCAATCTGGAGGTGCTCAATTTAAACCTAAGCTCTCAATTTAAA